GTGGATATACACTAGTGATGAGCTCTAATAAGAGCGAAACTAGAGTCTAATATTTTCGATTGTATGGTTGACTAGAGCTGAACTGAGGGTTGTACTTGAAGATGAAATCCGAGGGATAGACAGTTCAAATCAATCATTATCAATCATCTTACACCACTTCTCACAAGTAACTGTAAGTTAAATGCCTGTTATGAGTTTATTTGAGTTAACATTGGTTGTACTCTAAAATAAACGAACCTGTAGTGAAGTATGACAATAATTTCTCATGCTTTCGTCATTCTCCAAGGTAGTTCTTTGCAAATGTGCCATTTTTCTCATTCTCGCTGCCCCACCCCCGTACCTCAGAATTTCCTGATCACCCCAGCCATGACACTGTACTCAATATCGGGCTTTGCGAACAGGCTCTGCTCCGCATTGCGGCAAACACAGTCCCGGGAGGAGGTGTACACCCCACCGGTTAAAACACCTCATCGACTACCCGAAGTCGATCTGGTGGAAGATATGATCCACTTTACTTCCGGATGCCAAGCCATTCCGAGTGAACAGCTTTGGCAGATGCAGAAAAATCGTTTTCTCACAGTGTATCGTCGTGATTTTGAGACAGCGGCCAAACGATTGGTCCAGTCCGATCCACCACATGAAATGCGAGCACGTTCGACACGGAACGGAGTCAAACGTTATCCGAATCCGGAAGTGCCGAAGCATACCCGGAGAGGCGAACCGGACACAAAAACAGCGAAGACGGACTTCGAGGATAAGCGAGATGAAACTGGAGGGGTTTACATCAAAGTGCCGTTAACACGTTTTGGATCCAGTGCGGCTTACAGAAAGATTGCGGTGGGTGTGTGTAAGTTTCCACTCACTCCTATGCGATGATACTATAAGAAGGATTATAAATTGTGTTAAAGAAAACGTTTTGTAACAGTGGGTGGTCTTTAATTTCAATGCTCTCTGGACAGCTACATCAGGGTGTCAATTTATTCACACACAGGTAATAATCAAACTCGTGCGACATGACTCTCAATTTTGAAAGATATTTCGATTTCCCAGATCACCCTGTGTGTATCGATAGCCATTGCTGAATAGCATTTAGTCTGAACTCCACCTCCTACTCGAATGTTCTTAGTTCTCGCGTATCACTGTTTCAATTGGCCTGACCTTGAGTGTCACAACGAAGTTTGCGGTAGTTCGAAAGCTGCAACTCCGAATTCAAATATGTCTTCTGCAAAGTAGCACAAAAGTTCATTTTTTATAAAAAATAAATCATTATTGCCTTATAAGGTTGCTTATTCTAGTCACTGCAGGTATTCTCTTTTATACAGTACGATTGATCGATAAATGATGATGATGGGAGGTGGAGGGCCGTGGTAGGTTGAGTGACTTCACAAACTGTTTTTGTGCGCACAAGGGGGGATTATGCAGCGAATTCCAACCGCCTCTGTGGTTGCTAGGATGTGATTTTTAATCGGCATTGATCTGCGACCTCGAACACAGTAGAGAGGCTGAAATGCTTCAATCACACTCACTGTGTGTTCGGACTTGAAGTGGTGTGAAGCGATGGCATTTGTAATCCAGAACGTTTTGTGGATAACGTTTTGCAAAATAACCGTCCGAGGGAAAGATTTTCAAGTGCACACAAGAAGGCAGTATACATTTCTCTCCCATTCAAAGGGGATACAATCGCAAAATTGGTTAACCGCAAACTAGGAACTGCGTTGGAGAATACTTTTCAAGCAATAAAATTACGTATCGTATTCACATCCAGACCGATCTTGTGTTCCCCAATATTACGTTGTTTATATATAAATCAGTATTCAATCATAAAAAAACAATCGTTTTGGGAAACGGAGAATAACCTCATAGGTTATCTCTTGGGGCCGGATGTGGAATTCTCAATGATTACATAATTCTTAGGTCATCTGATCGTTGGGACCACTCGGAATATGGGGTGCGTGGGGTTGGGCCAGGGGAGATTAGGCGCCTGCACAAATTGTTTTTGGACACACAGAGGGGGCTTGTGCAAACGACTTCCTACCGCTTCCGCTGTGGCTAGCATACGACATCAAACCTGCCTTGATGTTGGACCACGAACCCGATACAAGCAACGAAGTGCCTCGGTCACATTCGCAGTGTGATTTGTTTCAACTAGGTGTGAAACCACTACATTAGTGAGCGACCTGATCGTTCCCGTATTGGGCCATGTGGGGTAGTGTTCACGGATACGTTCGGAGAAACACCTGACCGTGCGGCCTATGTACATTGCTAAACAGGAACACGTAAATGAGTACACCCAAAATTAAACGGCAGAATCCGGTATTTTGTCCTTTAGTCCTAAACGCACAATTGGCTGGGGTGCGAACAAAACATGGAGCTTTGCTGCATAGAAGGTATCATTAATAGCATCGGATAGTCTCCTTTGTATTACCTCTGTTGATGTATCCCCTTGAACGGCGAGGTTATGTATACCGACTTCTTTCTAACCTCGGTCATCTTCACAATATCTTCACTGGACTGAATCATCTTGCTAACCAATCGTTCTGGATAACCTTTTTGTTTAAAGATAGTGAGTAAGAACCGGAACTCTTCTTCTATTGTGTCTTCACTACATTTTTTGCTTGCTCCTTCTGCTAGGCAGCGCACCAAATTCCTCTTCACTTTGAGCGTTACACAGCTTCGAGAATGAATCTATTGGCCCTTCCAAGTCGCCTTCCTATACACTAATCGTTGCACCGGGCCATCCGATCTAGAGCAAAGTACTTAATCGCTTCATATGGCTACAACTAGATGGAATAGATGGTTGAAGCACAGTTAGGACGGAAAAGAGTTTTAGGCAGTTTATACTATGAAGCTAAAAGAATGTCGCCGATAATCTATCGAACTCTTTTGTTGCACCAACTTCAAGAGATGTCCGCTGCGTTGATCATTTCCGGTTGGTGGCAGCAAAGATCTACACGGGGGGTTAGACTGATGTAGTACTTGATATGCGAGGATCATATTTATCCGAATACCGCGGTACTGAGTTGGGTAGGGTCCCAATTTTTGCATCTTTTCAGCACAAATCGTAGACTGCAACCTTTGGATGATTTTGGATGCGATTTCCTGTGGACGTTTGAACTCTTTTGACCAGTGTTTAGCCATCTATACAAACCCGAATGGTTTTTTCAATGTCCGGTCGGCGAACAGAGCGACACGTTTGTTTCAAACGGTCAAAGATCGCGTATGAGTAATCCAAATTTAATCCGGACCCACTGAGGGCAGACACTGTTGCACAACCAATCGTACAATTTGCTTGCAAGACATCTACCAGCTGCTGTCTCGACAAGACTAACTAGAATTTTACAATCTGAATCGTTTGCTGAAGAGGTAAGCCGGCCGGAGAATATTAAAATGACAACAGAGGAGACCAAAATAATAATCACAGAATTAAGTTACATTCAACACTATCCATATTGAGAACAACAGTGCAGCAAACAAGGTTATTTTCAGCTATTCGTAATCTGGCAATTAGATAGCATTGAATATGACTAACAACAAAAAACAAACAGGGAATGAGAGATTCCAGTCCTAATGGGTGATCTCCGGCTCCAACATATATGCATCTGTGCTTGTGTGAAGTTGAACACAGTGTCCGACCGATTTACAAAGTTCGATGGAGGCAATCAAGAACGGTGAAGCATCGTATCTTAGCCGAAGCCGACCGAATTATTCGGATTCCTTATCCGCCCAGAAGAAATTTAAGCCAGCACTTAGCCTCCTCCGGGTCCACTTCATCCATTTCAACAGGTGTGCAATCACCCTGGACCCTGTAATCAATTTCACAAAAGCACACCCGATTGAAGCCGGGGGCGATCGCATTAGGACTCGAATCTCTATTTCCGTGATTGTTCTTGTTGTCAGTCATATTGAATGTTGAGCAATGGTATGATTACGAATAACTGAAAACGAGCTTTATCGCCACGCTGTTGTTCTCACCGTGTTCTGTGGGACTCCTGAAACACTTTCTATTGTTCGTATCCGGCCAAGTGTGAATGAATGCACGGGATAGATATAATACATAGGTTGCAATAAGTGAACAGGGAGAGCTCGAGATCTGTCTACCATAATAAATTGCAACTTGGCACGGAACAACGTGGGAAGGACTCCTAAAACTGACGCATTTGATTGTTGAAGGATCAGCTAACGAGCTTGTGAAGCCCTGAAATGGGAGGCACAGGGATGTGCAGGTTATCAACATCATCATCATCATTATCAGCATCATCATCATCATCATCATCATCATCATCATCATCATCATCGCCATCATCATCATGAACACCAAAGTCATCATCATCATCCAATAATTCAATTACTATCCTGAACAATTTAACTTTCCCTGTAAAATCAGGCTGCGCTACTATTGAGTAGATATGAATCAAGAGGTTGATTCTTATCTAAACGATGACAGCTGATTACTTAACTAAACGGTTGCTGTATCAAGTTGTGCTAAGGTAAACATCTATGTTGATCAGTCTGATGGTAACATGTGAAGAATCTTGCCAGTTTTGCAGCTGCCACAGTTTCGGTGGAGATATCAAGTTGACGATTACTACGAAAAAAGGAAACAACAGAACCGTATCTCCATGAATTTGTGGGAAACGCTAAAATTACACGATGAATCGCTTGATTCACACCCTTGATTCACAACTTCGATGAGAAATAAGCATTTGAAATCTCTGTGATTTCTTCCTGCACCTAACTCTGGTAAACAACTGTCAGTGGAAATGTGGTTCATGTACGGGGGAATCCATTCAACTAAGAGTAACATTGTGACAGGCCGGTGAATGAGTTTGATTTCATCGAGCGTTTGAGATACCGCAATTCACCTATACCGTGTCTTGCTCGTTTACTCTGAAACACAGAGTGGAAAATAAGTGAAATTTGTCTTAGCCTTGGATTATGAACTTTCCCCATGTCTGTAAAACTTTTCTCCCGGTTTATTTATGTACACTGTGACGTTTGGCGTGTATGATTATTTTTTAACTGAAATGTGAGCTCCATTGCTTGCAAAAGTTATCCATAATACAATACAATACAATACAGTACAGTCTGTTGACCACAAGTACTCCCCCCCCTACACACACACCAATCACTCAGCGAAACGGACAGAAAAGCGTGCCTCGACTGTATAATGAGCAATTAGAGGATATCGATATTGTGAAACTCCCTATTCAGTGGGCATTTTCCTAAGTTTTGAACAGATAATGCAAATGGAGTTGCATCCAACAGATCCAACCAGCGCAGATAAATTTGTATGAGTAGACATAACTCACACTGGCGGTATATTTCTGAGACAACCGATAGCCGTTCATAATGTATATCCTATGATAAATTGGTCTGAACTTGGCTTTTTACCGCTTCACAGAACACAGATTTGTTATTATATTTATGTGTATGCCAGATTTGGTGTACACCGTGGTTTTGTACATAAAGAAACAGACAGAAGGAGGGTACTATCATAAGAGGTTTGTAGCTTGGTTAGTTACATGGTAATTGTTCTCCTTTTTCAAGAAAAGACTCTTTTACTGATTGCTTTTTCTTACAATATTAAATTTATTTTTTTTGGATGGCGAATGTTTGGATTAGCCCATTCGGTTTTCTCACCGGCGCCAGGCACTGTTGATGATGTTCGATGTGGGTTTTACTCCTTGGAAGATAATTAATTCCCCACTGTTTGTTTGCATTTAAGTGCGATGGAAATCTTTGTGATAATCGACACAAAGAGCACCGGGACAGCTGTTTCGTACTGTTTGGGACTGGTCAGCAGTGCGCATACTTTTGTTTCCCCCTGTCAGGACTGGAATCGCGAAACTTCGGGCTGGGACTTGAAACCCTTAACC